TGTGTAACTTCCCAATGGTTGCCAGATGCTAAATGGAAAATGAGTTATGATTTACATTAGCAGGTCCCTTAACTGCCAGGGTGAAGGAATCATGAAGGAACAAATAGTCACAAGGAGACCATCAGTACTGATGGCACAATAGTACTTCAAACGATGGCTTAAGAATGACCTTAAATCAACACCTGTGAGCATTTCAAGGGAAAATATTTTAGATTGGCGTTTATGGCAGGGCTAGTTTGTATTGCTGGTTGGTTTTGTGTTTTGTCCATCCTTTCTATTCTTAAAAATAAACCTGATTGATTGTGCAGAGATGTAGACAGCAAGTCTGTAATGCACATTGATGGATAATAAAAAAAAGGCAGTGCAAGAAATCTGTATTTCCTCTGCCCATCTCACTTACTGCTTTGTATTTGTTTTTGTTGTCTGTAGCCCATCCATATCAGCCTTAAAACCCACTCAGCTGGCATGACAGGTCAGTTAAACCCAGTAAGTACCTGATCTTTATTATAGTGTGGGTCTGTCCTGTACAACTGGATGCTAGGCTTTGTGTTTCATGATGTGTTTTAGTTAGAGTATGTCATTCAAATGTATAAGATAAATGACAACTCTTCCAAGAGGTGTTGTGTTAAAGAGATATGTTATTACATTGATATTGGATAGTTTATTTTAAAGGTACAAGAACTTTGGCATTGAAATGTAAATGTTGAATTTTAACGGTTTTATCCTTTTTGTATCAACTGGACTAACATGTTAGGCATTAAAGGCGTCGGTCCTTCATGTTAAAGGGTCAGCTCACTCGAATAAGAAGAATGATCACTTTTCTGTAGTGGTTCCCAACCTTTTTTGGTTTATGATCCCCTTAAATGAGTATTCCACTTCCATAAGGTGAGAGATTTAAAAAAAATTAAAACAGCGGTGGCCAAAATATACTGACCCTAAATTACTCAAGTTCCCTGAACTGTTTTCAGAGGTTCAGTGCTGGTAGTTCTTGTGATGAGCAACTGATCCTCGTGTAAAATCTGTACAGTGGCCCCCTTTTTTTTAAAAATAAAGCAATTTCTACTTGTGACAACATGTCACAGATTACGACCTCGAACATGAACTAGGAGTGGTTCCACCAAAGAGTGAGGTTTTTTTTTTCCCTCTCCGATTATTTCACTGAAGGATTTTTGTAGACCTGAAGAAGTGAAAGTGGGTCTTTATTAAACCTTCAATAATCTTGTGACCCTTAAGATTCTCTATGGGAGTCCGACCCCAGGTTGGGAACCACTGATCTAGCAGATGGGTTTTGGTTTTATAAACCAAGGTTTAAAGATTCTCTCTTTACCCCCAAATCAAATTTATGTGAATAGAATCTCATTTTTGGTGATCACAGAAACTATTACTGAACACAGCTAACACTTTTTATAGGGACTATAAGGGTAATGTTGCAGTTAAATTAAACTTACTGGGGCATAAACTAGTATCTCAAAATCTGGACACATAAAACCGTCAGCATGGATTTGGGTGAACTGACTGACTTTGGGTGAAGTAAAAGCTCAGAATGTATATATACTAAAGTTTCCATTATGCAGGATAGCTCTTATATGTAAGGAAAATGTTTCTTTTAAACTAATGAGTTCAAATGTTACATTTTTGTAAATTTAGTCCCGACAAACTGTCACGAAAAGTTAAAATTCCATGTTTCTATTTCCAACTCATCTTTGGATCAGGTGTGTTTGTATTTGGATGAATACAAGCTGTCCTATAAAGAACAATTGTCCAGAAAGTAACTTGATCTTTTAATGAAAATGTGACACATCACAATGTCAAATTCATGTTTTTTCTTTTCAATAAAAAATTATTTTACTGCCACTTGTTTGTCTTCACTTACTAGATTGAGGTGAGGTCTGTCTGTCTGTAAACAGATTCACATTAGACTCAGTACTCCTCATGATGTCAATAGTATATACTGTAATATGACAGGGTACCAAAAAGATACAGACTCAACAGTAAAATAACAAACTAATGATGAATATATATGAGGATATAGTCATTTATAAATATTTTAATTTGTTTATTTAATATTGGCCTTTTTGTAATACAATACAATTCTCACAGCAGCTTTATATATGTCTTTAATTGAAATTGTCTACAGCATAAGTAAGTACAGCCATTAGATGCGTTGAGTAAAAACTAATGAACTGGAAACTTCTTCTGGTGAATTGTTTACAATTCTAGGAATTAGTTAGTCACTTTTTTTTTTGTGGTTAGAAGTATGAATGAGGGCAGACATGCTCTTTTAAAATGCACACATAGTTTGAGCCCAACTATTGTTAAAGATTTATTAATGTACTTGCAGGCAAACAAAAGTTTAGCTGATCAATAAAAGTAATTAAATGCATTTATAAAGACCCTTGAGCTGCAGTCTCAAACTGCAGTAGCATGTAGACAAAAGCCGTCTGTTTTAAAGACGCTCATTGTGGTTTCCTGCTGGACCAGAAGAACAATGCAACAGTGGGTCTTCAGAGCTGATAATGCATTACAAGGGTGGCTGCTGGAGACCTGGAGATCGTTTAGGCTGATACACTGAGCATACATAGCACCACAGTGGAAACCACCGATTTAGTGATTAACATTGCTTATTTTTAGTTTTAAAGAGTGAGAACTGAGTATCAGCTCTTCGTGTGTTTTTCATAGAGAAATAAGCACTTAGACTTTGCTTGCACACCCTAAATTAACTATCTTTTTTTCTGTTCCTCATTCCGTATTCAAATTGTGTTACAGCCTTGCAGAGGTCAATGAAATACTAATTTCTTCATTTGTTTTTTCATTTACAACTCTTTCTCGTGTCAAAACTGCAGTTAAGTGTGTGAAGAGTGCGAATGCGGTTAAAGTATGTGGAACTCCCCACTAGTCAGAAATGAAGAAGCCTTTTGAAAGCACCCCAAACCAACATACACATATCTCAATTGTATTGCAGTATGGGGACAGATACAGATCTCTCAAAACTATCAACATGACTGTTAGAGATACACCCTTAGAGATAAGTGAGAGCTGTTTGACCACTTCATTGTTTTGGAAGTCACAAATATGACTCTTTGTCTTTGCACTGTGACCCAAGTCCTAAAATATAATGCCATTTTTACAAGATAATATTAAATTTACACCAATCATAAATGGTTTTTAAAAATGTGTATTTATTATTTAGCATATAGCACAATTTTTTCACACTTTTAAAATACAGTTTTTAAACTTTGGGCTTGGGCAAAGGTAGGTATTTTCAAGTCAAAAGGCTCAAGTCCAAGTGAAGTCAGGAGTCCGTGTTACAGTCCAAGTCTTTTTTGATTTTTTTGCAAAAAATCTGGCGTCCACTTCTTTGGGAAATAGTACACATACTTACAGCTGCAACAAGGAACTTTAATTATTTTGGTAATTGTAGTGGCCTCTGTGGACAAAAGCTGTGGTGTTTCCACCAAATCGCTTTATTGATTTCAAGGGGAATTATACCTGATAGCAGGCATTAAGCATAATTATATAAAAAAAGCCAATCTTCTCACTGATGGTCTGGTGTACTTATGAAAGTCATATAGAGACACCAGTATCAAATTGAGACTGTTTCATAACCTGTTAGAAACTCTGTGTAGCAGTTTTACAAATTGAAGAAAAAGTATTCATTTAGAAACTTTTCTCGTGTCTACACTTCAGTCAAATATGGTTGAAATTGATCAAACCCTTTGCCACTCAGAAATGAAAAAAGCCTCTTGGACGAGCAGCTTCAAGAACAAAACCATAAATCCAGCGGCTTTTCACGGTAACCACAGTTGTTCTTAGTCGTTTAGAAGTCTCAAGTCTCCCAGAATAGTCTCAATTCACAAATCTTGAAAAACAGTCTTTCATTTTCTTATTGCTGACCATTAAATGGCAAGACCATTTAACCCCTTTCCTTTCAAAACTGTGAAAAAAGGATTGGTTTTTTTTCATTTTATACATTTTTCAAGTCAATCTCAAAACATTTACATTGAAAAGGTTATTAATCATTGTAATCGTTCCATACTGTCTGTGAAAAGTTAATATCTTCAATATGTTTTTTTTCTTTCAATAGACCTAATAATGAAAGATTGAGGCTGTACAAGGCCCACATGATGGCGTTGTATTTTTTATTATTTTATTCAATGTCAAAAATTTAAAACGTACGACTCAAATGTTTTTGTTGTTTGGCTGGTCAAGCCTGGAGCTGCATATTTATCGATTAAAGCTGCAGTAGGTAACTTTTATGAAAAATAACCTTTTATCGTATTTGCTGAAATTTTCACTATATCTACAGGGCCTGGACATAAATATAAAGACGCTTTGGGTTGGAGGCTTGAAGATATTTGATTGTTGTTGTATCTCATCCCAGGGTCTCCGTATTTGCCACCCTGGCTATGAGACTCAACAATCAACCGTCTTTCTTGGCTCCGGTGGATTCTTGCAAATGTCATTCTTGCAAATTGGCGAGAGCAAGCCGGAGGAACCAGATTTTATCATATATTATCTGTCTCATGTGCTACTGTCAGGATATAGTGAACGTTCCAGCAAATATGACAAAAAGTTATTTTTACCTACTGCAGCTTTAAGTCAGCAGGCCTTCTATATAGAAAGTCATTTCCTCTGGAATATGCAAACATATTATGTCTGTTGAAAGTTTTTCTCAAGCATGTAAAAGACAATTCATGCAAATAAAAAAAACCCTACACTTTGTGAATGAATTGAACTAAAATAGTTGTGTCAGGACTGTGTAAAACATGGATCTTTAGGGACCTCTATGCATTTGTTGATTCTTACTGCGCAGACACTTCAATTCTGATGTTAAACCTTCTGTCCCAGCTCTGTTGTTACATTTTTAATTCTTTACCACAGTCAGAATGAGCTGATCCATCATATGTGGTGTTGAGTGAGTGTGTTTCCTCTTGTCTAGTCTTGAGGTTTGAAAGGAGGAGCTTCGTGGAGTTCCTCTTGGTTTCATTTACAGTTAACCAAACTTGTGACACTCAGTTTTGCTTGTGTCAGTTCTGTCATGGTTGACAACACTGACGTCCCTCAGGATCTTAATTAGTGTCTTCTGCCTGTATGAAAGATGACTAGGATCCAGTACCTGGCTTATCTGTGGACTCTGGTCATCATTACACAGACAGGATGTGGTAAGTTTGGTTCTGTTGTTCTAACTTGTCTGATCATTAGTTTTTTTCTTTTCTGTTTGAATTGTAGGAATTTATCAGGAGTTAATTTCTAATACAGTGGGTGGACAAAGGAGTAACACGTCACACCACTTTAAGAAAAACCAAAATTTTTGGCTGTTTAAATAACTTATTTTTAATAATTTTAAAATATTAATATTAATATTTTAGGCTGCAGTTTGTAGTGGTATCACATTGGACTATACTACTGGGTGTTGCTGTCATTTTGTTCATCTCATTTATATATTGTTTTTATTTTATAGCATAGTGTGTGAAATTTTGCTAATTTGTCGCATCTAATATTACATTTATATATAATTCACATATTGGATATATAATATATATATATAATATAATAACATAATGTAATTGTTTCTAAAATACTGACTTTTAATTTGAAACGTATACACGTCTTAAATTAGGATAAGTTCTCTCATCGGACTAAAAGCAGATGAACTCTAACACATTTCTTTTTTTTTGTTTTGATGAAGTATGCGGTGATATTCAGTTTTTGGAGAGGCATGAGGGGGAATCTGTGGTTCTTCCCTGTGTGGTTGATCAGAGAAACCCTTCGCCCTTTGCTATGTACCTCAAGCGCAGATGGCTGCAACCAGGTGAAGTGCTGTACATGCACACCGAGACGGAGCTTCATGTAAAAAATAACGACTACATAAGCCGCGCCATTGCCAGTGGAGACCCGAGCAGCCACTCTCTGAATGTGACCATCTCTCAGCTGAGGGCCAGTGACACTGACCGCTACTACTGTGAGTTTTATGTCGGTGACAACCTTGGACTAGACAAACCATTGCCTGAAAGCACAGAGTTCTTCCTCCTTGTGAATGCCGGTGAGTTGTAGGGTTTTCTTTTCTCATTTCATCCCACACACTTTTCAGCAGTTTGTCACCCACAGGAGGTTAAACTTTCCAAAACAACAACCCACGTTACCACACAAGAAGGTCAAAACATCTTACATGTATCGACATGGTCTTTCTTATGAATTAAAGAGCTAACTAAAGCTATAAAGTATATTATGCTGGAGGAGGATACACGCCAATCAGCAGCCTGGACATGCATTACCTCATCTTATACCTCATACTTCAACATTACATAGTGCTGGTTCCAGATCTGAAAATAAAACCCCAGCACTTATACCGCCACCAAAAAACAAGTAAAAGTGAAAATCATAGTTTTATTAAAATTGAATTGAGAAAGTGTTTTTTCCTGGATGCAACAATACACAGTACAGTAAATATTAATATACACCCCAAATATAAATTCCTGTACCCCAGATATACTTTTTTTTTTTTTTTTTTACAGCAGTCTGAACATGCTTTCAAGGGTATTGATACATAATATAAATACATATTTTAGGATACCCTGAAGGTTCTGTCCAAAAAAGTGTTTGTTGACTACACACACATTTTGTCTTTGGTTGATTAGATTGTAAAGGTTGCATTCAGTTAGTCCTATCTGGGTACATTTATAGTGCATGTGCTCAATATATAATACATTAAGAACTCCTCCTAATAACCTTGCTGCTGCTATCCCCAAAAATATTTTGATCATCCAGAGGAAAGGGAAAAGTAAAAATCACATGAAATCTCTGAAAGAGGTCAGAATGCTTTACTCCAAATCATCTCAGTGTATCCCTCAGCCAAAAGGTCATATTCTAAGTGTTATTCCCTCTCCCCTCTGGAGATACCCCTGGGTCAGTGGACATAGGGTTGGTAGAGACATGTGCTGGGGGCTCGGCTGTACTCCCCTGTCTCCCCCCAAACGGGCAGGGCTTGGCTGTGGAGGGGGTGAGTCTGAAGCGACAGAAGGGCCGGGCACCTGTGGAGGTGTTGTACCACTCAAAGCATCACCATGGCAGTAGCACTCCATCCTCCTTGTCCAAGTTTCCCACCGAGAAGTTCCAGTTGTCCTCGGTGCCCGGACCCAGCGGCATCACCTACAACCTCACCCTGCAGCAGTTGCAGCCAGACGACAGCGCCCTGTACAGCTGCCAGCTGCTCCTGCAGGGCAGGTCCAGCAGCAGCACCAGTCTAGGAAGAAAACCGTTCTTTGTTTCTGTGCAAGGTGGGTCACAGTGGGACTTAATGGCCAGGTTACTCAAACTAACCTACATTTCTTTTTTTTCAGGATTAGCTCCTTCTCTTTTGTGCTGTTGTTTCAATGTCTCTGAGTGTCTGACCTATCTGCCCAGTTCTGATATCTCAAGATGCTGGCCTTCTACTAACATAACCATTACTGATAATATCCATAACGATGACAATGACCTTTGTCCATTTAGTCCAAATAATGATTTGAGTTGAGTATGTTCAGGTTTCAGATGTCACATGCCCTGAAACATTATGCAAAAGTCTTCCGATCACTTCCTTCAGTTTCACAATAGCAGTGTTCCCTTATTTTAATTTTACTTGTATGTCTGTGAGTGTGTGCTCAACTGAAACACTAGACCAAAATAGACCTCAGTAACGGATGGCAATATTTTTTTTTATTTTTCTTTTCTTTTCCTTCATGTAATGAGGGTAATCATTCAGTCAGATAACGCATCAAACAATCTAGTGGTATTTATCTTATGTATGTAGTCCTATAGCCTGTTAACAGTGTGCTAGGGATTGTTGAATCAGACTGTACGGTGTGATGTATTATATTAAAATTATAGGCTTTAAAATATTTTACTTTACTTAGACTAATAATAAATGTATGCTTTTATAGTTTAAGCAAACAATAAAAAAAATGGAAAGTGCTTTTCCATTATAGCTGAGATGTTAGGCAACATTGGGCAGTGCCATAAACCACTCTTTCACAGATTTTGAAATCATAATTATGTCTTAAAGATATTTCTTATTGTCAACAAAACCCATGAAAAGACAGAAATAAAATAGGTTGGAGCACTGCTGAAAAAACACTAATGAGCCACACTGGTAAATGGACCTGTACTTGTATAGCGCCTTTCTAGTCTTCTGACCACTCAAAGCGCTTTCACACACATTCACTCAGTGATGGCAAAGCCCATCAAACAGAAACTAACATTCATACACTGATGCATGGCATCAGGAGCAATTTGGGGTTCAGTATCTTGCTCAAGGATACTTTGACATGTGGCACCAGGAGCCGGGGATCGAACCCACAACCTTCCGATTAAGGAACGACCCGCTCTGCCTCTGAGCCACAGCCGCCAGCACAGGCTGATATTTATTCCTTATTCACATCATTCATCCTTTTTTTTTTTGGAGTAAATCCAACACAAACTGTCCAGCTGCTTTAAATATTCACTACAACAAACACAACAAATGTGCATTAATTCACAGCTGAAAGTCTCCAACAAATACACAATTTACTTCAGCTGTTGAAAACTGCAATGTCCACCTGTTTTACCAAATTCTTTGGCCTATAAACTATTATACTATTAATTTGTGGTCTGTTTTTAAAGAGGGATCCGGGCCAGGAAGTCAAAAAGACACCACTGATTTAGCTTTTTTTAATTTAATCTATCATCAGTTTTTGACAGGAAAATATTCCTGTATAATTTAGGACATTGACTCATAGGTTATTTAAAATAGATTATTGGACTCCTGTCTGATGATAACAGCCGTTTATTTTCCTGTTCATGAGCAGTTTGGGTGTTTGCATTTGATCTTTGTGTTATATAGAAGCTTATCTGTCCCTCAAAATAATAACTAACTGCAGCCTGAAACTTGGAAGGAAGTTTGGCTCAGTGGCTTTCAAGGTGCCTTTTAACAACTTACTAGCATGTACTTTGCAAGTGTTTTTATCTTATGAATCTACATTTAAGTGTGAAAGACAAGAATGTGTTGTGGGACGGAAACTGAATGCTGTCAGTGTGGTTTCTCGGGGGGGGGTCTGAGCGTTTGTGTCCTGCACAGCAGCAGTGAAGCGGACGCTCTTATTTTTAACATTTTTCTCTCTGCTTCTTCACAGGCACTCAGTGTAGCTGTCCCAGCTACTCTACCCTGCTGTATGCTTTGTCCTCAGCTGTGGCCATTCTCGTTTTCCTCCTTGGATTTGTGTTGATTTATCAAGTGAGTGGGGACCTGCGGTATAATGGGCTGCTCAAACACTACACAAGAGTAAGGGTAAAGGGGAAAATAACACGAAAGTAGCACCTGCCTGCTGAGAGCGTGCCATTGAGTTCCTCTGCAGCTCACCACAAAACCACACTAGTTTCATAACTTGGTGCTGACAGTTTTGCCAGCATGTTTTTCTCAAAATTCAATGGGGAAGGCAGTGAAACATCTACTATACTTTTTAGTTTATTTTTAAGATGTGTATACGAGTATTGAAGCACAGTGTTTTTTTTACAAGTAGAGTAGTAGAACAGTACAGTGAGGATTAGACTTGGTGAGGCAGCTTCCTATTAAAGGTGTTGCCTCTAGAGAAAATGACAAACTCTGATTTTAACACAGGAAATCGAGAGTATGTTAACTCTGTTTGTCCCCTCCACTGATTTGTTCTCCTGTCTCTGTGACTGTCAGGGCAAATCGCGTCGCAGAGTCAAGGCACACCATCAGGCCCCCATCTACGAGGATATGGCTGGTGTGCAGCTTGCCAGTCAAAAACTGGCCTCTCGACATCTGGAGGAAATGGAGCCCTCTGAGTACAGGAACTGCCCTGTAAAGAAATCCTGTCCTGAAAACCATTATGAAAGCCCCACTGGGGCCCTTCACCCCAGGAAGGAGTCTCAGAGACCAAATATTTGATCTTCTTACCAGCATCATGAACTAGACCAGCTTATCAACTCAGCTCCCTGAAACTCACTGGACTCCATTTAGCACTTTTTGTTAAAAACATTTGAACAGCTAAGATTCTCCTCAGACAGTTTTTTTTTAAAATTGCATGTATATTTCACCATTTGAAGAGTGTTTATATTTTGGCTCTTTTCAAGAGCCTTTATAAATATTGGCTGCCAATGGGGTGAGTGATATGGACAAAATCTTCCATCACATTTAAATGCCAATGCAAAATGTTGAAAGACATTTTCTGAAAAAATGAATTCATAAATTATAAATTAATTAATAAATTGACATTATTGGATAAAATAACCAGACAGGAATGTCTGTTTTTGGCTGCTTCAACAAATTAAAGCTGCCCTGTGGAGTTTTTTATTACTGCCTGTTTACGTTTGTTTCTTACCAAAATGCATTGTGTGTCCATAAGGTCTAACTGAATGCACTGCCTCCCTTAGCTTAGTTTTGAATACATTTAAAACCTACACTTAGTTTATTAGTTTATTTATTAAAACAAATGTCCTGCAATAAATCCTTCATCATGAAGGGCGGATTTATTGCAGGACTGCTAGACTGCATTAGTTTTAGCTGACATAGCTGATATACGGTCATATCACCCACCCCTAATATACTGTATGTTAAATATCCTCTTGTGCTTATATTCAGTATGCATTAAAATAAAGTTACTTTAAATCAATATGAATCAAAACTGAAGCAAACTAAGAACTCTGTGTTGTTTTTTAAAAAAGAGACAAGACATCTAGTAACAGCCAAGAAAATTTGTAATTTATTAATATAGTCCGAAAGAAGCTCCATAATCCATGGAAACATTTTTTTCCGGTGCATGTCCTTAACAATCACATTCTATGAGGAGAAAAAAGAACAACATTAAAAGCCACAACTTTGTATTTCAGTTACAGACATTTTTCCTTAATGTTTTTTTTTTTTCAAAGTAAAGAGAAAGGCAAAGGCAAAGTACCCCCATTCCCCCACCCACCCTCCTCCCCTTAAAAAACAGACAGCCTTAAAAGTCATGGGCTTTTTTTTTTCAGTACAACCCACAGTGCTTTAGCAGGATAAGCGCTCATTGGTTAAGGATTACACAGCATGGCGACGCAATGTAAAGTTTTGCTAAAACATTAGATGATGATAATGATGATGATGATGATGATTATGATGATGATGATGATGATGATGATAATAAGGGGGGGTAGGGAGTAGAGTGGAGGAAATTTGAGCAAAGAGACAAAACAAGAACAACCCTACATCGAACCCTGAACCCCAGAGCCTGAGTCGACAAACGCCCGCAGTACAGCAGCTGGGTTTGGACTCTTCCCTCCCACTTGTGCATAGATCATGATCCTTTAAAAACCAGCTTTATTCCTCGACTTCAACCCGCCTCTAAAAACCATCTGTTACATGTTAAGAAATCTCTCAACTATTGAATACCTGCCACAGAAACAGACACGTTAACAGACAGGAGAGGTGATTAAAAATAAAAACTTCTTGCACGATGCTCCTGAACTACAGGATGGAAACTTAAAAAGAACAAAACATACAAATGCATTTTCTGTCACTGTCTTTTTGACAATCAAACCATTGATCATTGTTTAAATGTAAAGCAATTTCTACTTAGATTTCACATGTAAAGCACTCCACTTTTTTCAAAAGTTGATTCTCAGTCTTATTTGGTAAATATATAACTTGCTACGAACTTTTTTTTTTTTGTTGTGTTTTAAAGAAACAATGGTACTCTCTATATTCTGTTAAACTCATAACCTTCAGTGCTTGCTTGGAGTTTAATTGTTTTCCGTTGCTTTTTTCCCCACACAAACGTTAAACCTTAGAAATGTTGGAGTTGGTATCTGGAACCCTGGCCTTCCTGAGACAAAATCCATATCTTTTTTTTTTTCTTTTGAGTGTGCAAGATAGTGAGCAAACTGCGTCGCTTACAGAAAACATATAATCACAACTCAATACATACAGAGATAGTCTGTCGACATTGAAAGAGAAATTAAAAATTGAAATATGACACAACACTGATCAATCCCAGAGTTCTTAAAGTAGCATAAATCTTCATTTTGCAAGATTTTCATGTCCATATTTGATGGAAGATGAAATTTGTCCTTTTATTTTTTACAACATTCCTGTTATAAATTTCTATCCTATTTCATTGAACTTCAGACAAATGAAATGCTTGTAAACGACAGGTGGCTTTTGCAACAAAAATAAAAAAACAACAGAAAAGATAGGCACCTCTGAAATGAGTCTTGTAACAAACTCACCTCCCACACTTTATCCCTTTCCATTTCTCCATGAAGTTAACATAGGGATTACTAGTCCTTCTACAGCTAGCTATGGCCACAGTTCTTTGTTTTTTTTTTCCCCTTTTTTGTTTTTTAGTTTTTTTTGTACTTTTTTCTATTTAGATTTTTTTCTCCATTTTTTTTTGTATAATTGGAACAAAATGGTGCAATACTCAATGATAATCCTTGTATTGGATTATTCCACAATAAAAGCCACTATAAGGTAGATAAACTTTTTACAGATAGAATGAAAAAAAAAATCCATTAAGTCCTTGAGTAAACATGTACACATGAATTGTCACCATCTCCCCTCTGTACTTAGACTCATTTATCTACGATTAGCTGAGTGAGGGGTAGAAGACACTCAGTGCAACGTTAGAAGATAATAACAATGTCTATCAGAATAGTTTTTGACAGAACAACAAACAAAAAAAAAAAAAAAAAAAGAAGAAGATAAAAATAGACACAAAATATAACATACTGAGTGGAACATAACAGCAGGCCATGTGCCCGGTACACACAGTTTCTTGCGCACACATTCATACAAACATCTGACTTTCAAGCACACATCTAAAATTACTTTTGCATTTTTTCCAAAGATTTTGTATTTGTAACTTAATGCAATACATTTTTAATATTCTCTAAAAGCCCCTAAGTGTACCTGTCAGATGGAGAGAACAAAAATTATTGACTTCACATTACGTTATTGGCGCTCCATGATTCAAGTATTTGTGTTCAATATTTTGTTTCGTTTTGATATGTTTGTGATTTTTTTATCAACTGGTTGGGTTGGGCTTTTTGACAGGCTAATTAACAAACAACACATATATACAGTACAAGCACTTCAAAGTACTGTAATATGTCATCAAAACCAGAACGTGCATATCCAACTCCATATAAGAAAGACATAGCTTTCAATCAATCAAGTATCAGTTTACACCCGACCCGAATTCTTTCATTCGTATCACTTATTTGCGGGGAAAATACATATTGCTCATTTTCAGTTGTATTAAACCAAGACCTTTCAAACAAAAATGAAAAGTTTCAGAGGTTACGATCCAAGAAGTCTGAAGAGGTGATACCACACACCATACTCACAGTATATATATATATATATATGTAGTGTATACATATATACTGTTATCTAGAACAGAGCTGTAGAGAGGAGAGCCTCTCGATGCTGGTGCAGCATGGGAAACCCCCTTCACTGTCAGGGTTCTCCAGTTAGTACAGGATGCTGGGAGGTCCTCGGCTATTGGGTCTGTCTGAGCTTGGATCAAGGCAGTTACAGAAACAGGCAATAGTGATTTTTGCTTGTGTGCTGCAGGACTGCAAGTCCTGAAAGGTAGCCTTTTCCCGTTTTCTTGTTTTTTTTTTTTTTTTTTTAATTTTTAAAACTTTTTTTAAAATGTTTTAAGACTTTGTACCTCTTGAAATGTGCCCCTCCCCTCCTGCTTATGCAGAGTGAGGAGAGTGAGGCTGATACAGTGGGCCCAAGCCATCTGGGTCTGTGGAAATGTACAGTTCAGTGGGCCCGCTTTGAGCAGGACACAAACATAAAAACGAGATAAATACAGCATCCACAAAAAGGCACCCCGGCCACCAGTCTACTCCTTTAGATGGTGGTAGTAGAGGCTGATGACCGGAGACGTTTCAGCTAGAAGTGCAGAGCTTTAACATATTATAGATCTTTTTTTTTTCGTTTAGATTTTTTAGCATTTTTAAGATTTTTATGTCAAACTTCATAAAAATGACGTTAAAATGCGATTTCATTTTTGGTTTTAAAAAAATATGTACCCGGGATTACCCATCATCAACTGTGCACTGTAGCAAACTGGAACCCCCAACTGAGTAAAGATTTTCTCCTTAGCATTGGGCATTCCCCACAAAAGCATTTAAAAAAACAAAAAAAAGAAACCTCAGTCGTTTAAGGGTGTGATGCTGCCGCCCATTTGTTTGATCCCTCCTGTCCCCCGCTGCACCCTCTGCAAAGGTTATCAAAGCTCCTCCAAACAGGGAACAGAAGTGCTCTCTATAAAGATACAGTATGACACAGCAAATTTATATTGGCACATTACATTGGCATCTTTTACATGTAATAAGGAGGCCCAAAAAGTAACGATAGGCCACCTTTTCAGAAAAGGATTTAATACAAGCCTTTTCCCTTCTAATTAGGATTAAGTTCGAGGCATGAGGTCTGTACATATTGTTTGCGCAGATGGCCTTTTAATTTAAGACTTTGCTCTCACAGTAGAAAGGACAGATACGGAGAGCTGCATCTCATACTTGGTATCATCAACTCCCCTACCCTGAGATCAAGCTGGACAGAAGTGTCTTCAGCGCAGAGAAAAAGGCCAACCTTTGATAAAGTGTTTGGACTTTAGTATGCGACAGTGTTCTGGTGGCGTAGCCTGACTTTACAGAAACGGCGGGCCATTCTGAAGTGCTGACAGAAGCGCACGGGGGACAACTGTTAGGGTCTGCCAAGGTCTGGGAGGAGTGCTCATTCCCAAGTCAGGTTTGGCATGTTGTAAAGGGCCCCAGCCTCTAGTCTTTTGCATAGAAACATATAGGAGGGCCTGTTGGTGCCTGGTCAGGGGAGGGCTACTGGGTCTGGTTGAGGTGAAGGAGGCGAGGAGGTCATAGCGTAGCAGCTAGGCAAAGGGCAAGGGGGGACAGCCTGCGGGCAGGCGGAGCAGCTTGGAGCGACAAACACCCACACCCCACCGTCTGAGACACCCTATTTTTACACATCTCAAGATACTACCTGGAAGTACTACAGAATACTGTCAAACACAAAAGCATGATCAGTTAAAAACAAATAGACAATCAATAACGCTCTGTAGTATTGATCCTCGTTTTGCATTCAATACACAGGATGAACATACAGAGGCACCTCTGACCAAAGTGTTTCTGCATATGAACAGTGAAGGGCTAGTTCAGCAGCCAGAATTTTGTAGACCACTGCATGTAGACAAAAATAACAACATAAAACATTGAAAAAAAATAAAGTCAAATGACCTTTTTCAAAAAAATAAAAAGTACACTGGCAAAAATTCCAGAAATATGACTATTACATCTTCCAGCTAAAGTGATCTTTGTGTCAAAGAACTGAGAGATGGGGGAGAGGGCAGGAACGACAGCAGGGTCGAGTGGTGGCAGGCCCCCCGTTGGAGATGCCACGTGTGGCGGAGAGCCGTCATTGGCCAGTCTTGGAGCAGCTTTTGCTTTTTCTTGCGAGACTGAGGGAGGGTCAAGTGGAGCCCAGGAGGAAGTGCTGCGCTGTGGGGCTGCCGCTTGACACCCAGAGGACCACAGCAGAGAGGCACTCAGTGGACGCTCCCCCCTCCCCACCCGACTCTGACTGACTGACTGACTGACTGACTGACTGACTGACTGACTGACTGACTGACCGGCCGGCCGACTGGCCGGCGGCTGTCAGAGACAGCTGACGTTGCAAGTCTAGTGCCTCCGAACAGAACAAGGCTAAACATTTGGAGTAACAGTGATATTCACTTTGATATTGTCCAAAGGAGGAAAACAAATTTAAAATCAGACTGCAGTTTTGTCCCACAAAGTCCAATGGTACGTTTCAGTTTTGTTTCCCTTCATCCTGCTACCAGAGGAACGCCAGACACATTTCCAAGGAATAGATATAGTACATAAAAGAGCAGTATTTTTCTTTTTTTGTTGTTTTCAATGTTTTTGCTGCTCCTTTTTTGATTTATTGGATTGCAGTTGAAGCGATTTGCTCTTCATAAGTGCTATGATAAAACCCTTTGAATTTATAAAAGTCTAAGTCTCTTCTGTTTGTACAGTACCAAACGCAAGGAACACTCGTAGGTCTACTGCATTAGGAGAAACCCCTCTTATTTGGTATTGTGCCAGATACCCAGAACCATCCAATCCCACTGTGGATTCAGTCTCTGTTGGGTGTGGCTGTGGCATGCAGAGAGGAAGTGTGCATTATTCTGTACTCTGTCACTCTTTAGTACAGTTTGCTGCATGCACAGTTCAACAGTTGCTTCTTCCTCTTTGCAGAGTTTTCCCAACAGTTTCAGGGGATTGGCAGCCTGGAGGGAATCCAAGTTTTGAAAAGGGGTAAGGTTTTTTGAAGTTCCAAAGTCTTTTGCTGCAATCAGCAACAATCACAAAAACAAAACAAAAGAGAAACCAGCTCCGGTGGACATAGATCGGGACGGAAGAAAGGTCTATGGTGTATATTGCACAATGTAACTGTCACATGAAGCTGAAATTGTGTTCTTTTTTTCCTCCGAAAACTGGCTGACCATACAGACTGCTGGGCTTTATAACAAATAGGTCAATAGAAAATTCAACAGAGCACCAGCAGGCGACTGGGTTCCAAGTTGAAGGTGACCAGAAGGATCTGGGCTTGCAGACGTCAATGATTAGGTGCCACCCAACGTACACAGGCAATGTACGGAGAGACGCAGCGAGGTTCACAAATAATCTTATCTCAGCTTATGTGTTGTGATAGATATAAAATAAATGCGCTTGGGTCTAGACCTACAAAAAAAAAGAAAAAAGGAGAACATTTAACAGCTGTGTCAATCCCTATGAGAATACAAATTAAAATCATTAAGCTGATGATTGGTAGGGCCAGTCACGTGGCCAGGCCTTCTTACAGCCCAGTGACAGAGTTTGTCACCAGTCATGTCCTGTACCACTTGCTGGCTCAGAGGGTGAAACTGTGCAAGATTTCAGCTATTTCTTTAGTTACAAAACAAACTAAAAAAGTTGGCTTGGGAAGGACCTGGGCCAGAGAGCACTTAAGGCTAATATTAGTGCTGAGAAACAAACGTTAACATAACTAGTAAAGGTCTTTGAACCACATCATTGGCCATGGACATGCTGGGAATGGTCGTTTTAAGTCTTATTTTGGGATGATTTTTGTTTTTTTTTGGAGGGAAAAGGAAAGTCTCAGATGGCAGCTTTGATTGCTTCTCCTAAAAACACTTCACACAGAATGTCATGTATACTTGTGGAAAAACTAAAAACACTTAAAATGTTTCTTTGTGTTGTGTCTCATTTCAGTTTGTTTTTATATGATGCATTTCAAAAATACCGAAAGGAAAGAAAACAAAAACCCCTTGCTTTCTTTCTTCCAAAAAAGGTAAGCTGAACATAAAAAACATAAGCAAAACAGAAGGACTGGAGTCTGCAGTCTGTGTGGTAGGGACCCCAGCCTTCTGATTCACAATTCACAGTTCAAAACAGTTCAAATTGATACTGATTATCGCCACATGATTTGCTTGGGTTTTGCTCCTGTTTTTTTTTGTTTTTTTACTTTTTCCATCCCACCTTCCACCGATGGCTTAAATGACATGGTGGTGGTGGGTTGGTTGGTTGGTTGGTTGGTTAGTGTATCGTGGCATCACCCTACATGGACTCCCCACTCAGCAGGTCTCCAGGCAGTAGGGTGTTAATTTGGGTGGGGCTCCCGATCACGCGAGCGTCTTCTCCGCTTGGCGGCCCCCACAGGCTGGAGTACTGGGGCACCCCTCCCCACAGCAGATCGCCTCCGCTGACCTTGCCACCGTTGCCGCCACTGCTCCACTGGCCAATAGAGTGGGACTGCGAAGCCCCCATCCGGTTCTGATTGGTTCCCGAATTGGCCTGCCAGCTAGTGGTGTTTGCCCCTAGCGACTGGCCTTGTGCAAAGAATCGGTTCACCTCCTCCTCGCCAGCAAACTCTGCCAGGATGGTGGTGTTTCCAAGCACACACCTAACAAGAGGGAAAAAAAGGGAAATTACAATAATTGAACTAGAAATAAGTATAAGTATAACCAGCACTTTTCATAAATATGTGTTCTGTAAATAAAAATGGGACCTGACACACTTCTTAGATAAATGGCACTGCTTTTTTAGAGCTTGATCACGTTATTATGCTTTTTTGTGCCCTGACATAACCACATTTTGTGCCGCTGCTGTTGAAAAGTGGGTCATGCATTTTGGATTTTGTTTCCATGACAACCAGTTGCAGTGGCTGCCACTATTAGCAAAACAAAATTAGGAATGAATCTAAAAACCACAAACAGCCAGTATACCCCCAGACTTGTTTTACACTCGTGTTTCCCACCATTTCACTTTGACTATTACACGACTCACTGTAAAATATAACAGCTGACTACAGCATGATTCTCCACCTCCTCTTCCATGTGACTGGCCTAACAATAATCTCAGTATGGGAAAGCACCATTAGGAAACCAAGAACATCGTATTTTCCCAAAGCGTTCCCCATTTTCAATTTTTTGTTATAGCTGCTTCACTTTAACATACAAAAGCAGTGGAAGTTGAGGAGAAAAAAAAAAGAAAGAAGACATTAATTTGGTTTGCTAAGAATTTGGCTGATGTAAGAGACTTTACTAAGGCTTACATGTGCAGAGACTTCTGGGCCTTGGCAGACTCGTCCTTGGAGCTGTAGCGCACCACAGCGTTCCCCTGGGTCAGGTTGAGGTGGAATGTGATCAGGGGGCCATGTTGCATGCACAGGGTCCGCAGAGTTGAACCATCAATCTGGAGCACAATAGGAAAAAACAATGAAGAAAATTGCAGTTACAGCTAATATCTGAGTCTATTCTTTACTCACTGTTGATGCTATATTTTTTATCTTTTTTTTTTTTTATTCTGTTATATTCAAGAAAAAGACACATACAGTTTTTATCTCACTTTTTTAATTTCACCTTTTCTCACTAACTAAAAGGAGAATCATATCTGATTATCCTACACCTAATCCATCAGATTAATTGGTTAATGTTTTTATTTTTTTGACACTGCTTTATGACTAGATCAATCTTTGAATCCCCAAAATGTACATATATATGCTGCCTCTAATCATAATACACTATGGCTTCAATTTAGCAAAAATAAGCAGAACAGAGGACATACTTGTGGGGTGAGATTCCTCAGCACCAGCCAGCTGCTGGTCCTGTTGGAGCTGTCAGTACTCCAGGTGGTTCCCTCTGTAACAGAAATGTAGACACAGTTAGATACAATGTTAAGCATTAAGTTTTTAATTGGATAAATTATGAAAGAAAAAGTGAAGTAGTAGAGCTGCTGAGTATTATCTTTCCAAAAGTCCCGCAAACAAAAAGCCAATAAGAGTAATTATTTAATGTAATCCGCTAAAAAGATGTAGAGACAATGTAAATAAACACGCAAAATACAGTTCATTTGGGTAAAAGCTGCACTGACGCAACAAACACTGGAATGCAAGTAAATACAAGTATCGGATCGGGTCTCGGTATTGGCAGATACTCAATAAATAAATGACTCCGATCAGGAGGCTAAAAACCCTTGATCAGGACATCCCTACTTGTGACTCTGTAATTAAAATAAAGTCGTTCAGTAGGCAAGAGTTAAGACAAAGAGTATGTGACAAATACGTTTCAAGTGACAGTACCTGTATAATAGAATTCTAAAAAGGGAACTGTACAAAATGGGATTTCCTGTCAAACCACGTTCAGGGCCTGTTAGCTCTGAGCTGAAGGTCAGAGAGTTTAACTCTCAGTAAAACGTGACACCTTCCACCAACCGTTGAACATTTTCACATACAATTCTTGTCTGAGGTACTAAAAGTAGTCTTGGCTCTTCAACCTGTGTGAATTTTTAAAACAAGGTCACATCTATGATGATTAAAGGCTTCTCACAGAGACGGTAAACCTCAAAATGTCAGTTTAAGCGGGGTGTGTTCACCCGGCCTTTCTATCCCGAGTGCTGCGAGTGCACAGATGCAGCTGTGAACTCCGCCACACCTATGCATCTCAGTCATGTCTTTGTTTGCTGGGTGTGAAATATATCACAGAATGTGTTCGATTCAAGAAGGCATTGTTGAACCTTCTTGATTTACTCAATCCTGACATCTCGGATAAGGTCTTAGCAGCAACATACAGTATCATTTGTTTCAATATAAGTTAATGGACTAAAGATTGTAACGATGTTAATATAGTAGCAGATCTAGTCCTGGTATGGAACACCTCAAAGTGAAACGTGAGACTAGTGTCGATGCGCTTAGCAATGTTTCCCATGTATAGAATGTTTTAGAGTGCTCACCAGAGGAGTAGGAGCCGCTCCAACCTTGGGCCAGGCCCAGGGAGTTGCCGCCCCAGGTGGAGGAGGGCTTGTTGTTGGTGAGGCCTGGCGGGGGCCGGGAAGGGGCTGTGGTGCTGCGGGGCCCCTGAGGGACTTTCCACAGCTCATGGGACAGAGAGGCTTGGCTCTGAGAGATGGGCCCTTGGGACCAGGTGGACTTCATGTCAGACAGTTTACCTTTAGATGGAGAGAAGATGGGGAGATGGTTGAGAGAAAACCGGTAACACACCGAAGACATATTGTTACAACGTAGTTGGTTGACTAAGGTCTCAAGCTCAAAAGAACGCATTTATGTTCCTGATGCACTTACTGGTTCTAATAATACCACAATATCTTTAATAGGAGCTTAATGTTTCAATAATATAATTAAATTCAAACTTTTAACATTTAAACTGCAATGAGCCAAATATAATAATAACATACTAAATAAAAACTTACATCTGCATCTACCTGAAATCTTTCTGCTGTAAAAGTTATCTTTAATCTTAATAATGTTAAAATAGACATAATACTTGCTGAAGTGTACAATGTACAAACTATGTCTACTGTGCCATTCCGACAGACAGCAAAACAAATATTTGTATGTTTATTTTTCAGTTTAAAGTACCACTGTTCTGGATACATGTGCAATCCCTGCCTTTTTGTAAATGCAAAAACAGTGTCTACAAAGAAAATATTTTAAGAATCACAACTTCAAATGAAATATTCAAAAAGAAGAGACCTGAATTTTTTGTGAATATCTATCTTAAATCACCCACACACAGAACAAACAACAACAAACACAGGGTGTGTACTGATGTCATGACCAGGTGGGGTGAGGTTTTTTTTTTTTTGTGGTTTGGGTCAAAGAGGCACAAATGGTTGAAGGTCACGATTGGGTGAGGTTGGTGTCTTAGTTGTTTAAAAAGGCACTGAGGGAACAAGTTTAGGTATTACATAGGGTAAGAAGGGTCATCAATACGGGTCAAGGTGAGGTTGGGTCAGGATAAGAAGGGATTCTAAGACAGTGTTTTATCAGGGCTCCCATTTGGATGAGGAGAGGTTTAGCAGGTCCACACATGGAGGGAAGATACTCTGGATGTGTACCTGAGCTGTCTCCATCAGAGGACGACAGACTGAAAGAGCTAGGGTAGCCACTGACTGGCCAGTCACTGCTGGTTGGAGGCAGAGAGCCATTCTGAAGTGGAAGAGCTGGGGTAGTGGCTATATGGTCGTAGAAGTAACAGTGTTGTGACCAGAGATGGAGAGAAAAAGAAATACAAGTTCATGTATGCATCAGTACAAGCACATGATATTGAGACATGTGATGTAGAGATAGTCCCATGGGTCAGCTTGTGCAAGTTAATTAATTATTAAGTGAATTTTTTCTGATTCACTTTCCATCTGGGTTACTGATTAAAATTAATATAAGTGGCCTTGCCTCTGTTCATACCTCCATTCCTGTCCCTCAGGAGGTATCGATTAACGTCATGGATGTTGGTATTGATGGTGGGACCGCTGGGGACGCTGCCAGGGGTCATGTTGGGGTCATTCTCAGGGTCAATGTTCTGAAGGCCCTTCCATGGCACACCTGGGCAGAACTCTGAGGGAGCAAAATAATGAAGGCTTTTTAAAACAGCAAGATCAGATCTTGAGGAAGTTAAAAACCAATCTCATGACTTCCCCACAAATATTCACACAAGCCTCCAAACCACAGCTTTCCTAACACGTATTCTTAAACTGTTGCAACTGCTGCAGAAAACATGAAATGACTGAGCCAGCTCCGTTTTCTACATTATAGAGGCACCTTTGGCATTGTATTTTGAACTTGTACTGGTTTTCATGTATGTAAAATCTATGTGGTTGGCCTTTAAATGATTCATTCTCAAGCCAAATATTTGTCAGATTGTGAATTTATGTCTTCCTCTTTATTTTTTTATTTGAGTCCCCATTATCTGCTATAACTGTAACTGCTGTTCTTGCTGAGGACCATCAATTACAATATTAGACTAAAATAGATTGAGTCAGCTGTCAGTCAAGCTCTTGAGAAGATATCTAATTAGGCAACATAAGTTGAGCATTAAATAAGGATGTGTTTAGGGTTATTTATTTGCATCTTGGTCTCACCTGGGGGCCAGTTAATGTTGGTCCCATTGGAGATCTTTTCATTGGGGCTCTTGCCCTGGCCCCAGCTGTCTGGGGGCACCAAGGGGCTGGTGGGGGACTCAGAGCTGGGCATTAGATTGTAAGGGCTGTATGAGTCCTCCAGCTGGGGGGGTTTCCCAGGGGGGCCCAGGGTAGAGGCAGCAGATATGGCACCTAGCATATGAAAAGACAAATTCAAGATATTCAATAAAATGAATGCAAATACTGTAAAGTTAGAAAACAATGTGTAGGATATATTTGTGTGTATGTTATGAGAATTATATTCAATTTCTTTTAAAACATTTTGTTCATCAATAACATCAGCTTAAAGAGTTCATCATCAGTACTATACATACAGATTTAAGGCCTTTCTGGAATAAAGTGATGTCTATAGTTTATCTACTGATGCTCTGAGTGTCTCTTAAGGGTGTCAATTCATCTTTCCATAGTTCATGGAAGGGAAAATGGATGATACTTAAAGATAAGTGTTTGGGGCTAATAAGATTCCTATCAGAGTATTAGACTGAAAACCGAAAGCGTGTATATAAAAAAAAAAAAAAAAAAAAAAAAAAAAGGTGATAAGAAGTGTTAAGATGGGAAGTGTAGGTGGCAGCAAGTTAGTGTCTTTTAGCTAGTTTCTCATCACAACCCAATATAAAGTGCAAATGTGTTCTAGAAAGTGGCTAACACTATTCACCTGTGTACACACACGTCGTTGTTTCTGCTAATCACATTTGGAAAATGCATATTAAATGCCATATTATCTTCAAAGACCTAACATGTCCATGTTCCCATTCTAAATAAATTTGGTGTCAGGGCTCTTTATAAGGTTGTGTACCTGAGCTATCAAATGACAAACTGACTGGGATCAAGCAGCTTCTTTCCAACCTATCACCGCAAATGAGTAGGGTATTCTGACACCTACAGATGAGTGTTGCTGCTTGTGTGATTCTTAACTGATAATCATCTTGCAATGACAATGTGTGAAAAAGACAAAAGGCAAACAGACCTTAAGTGTTGCAATGAAACCCATGATAATCTTATATCAATTGTTGAATTTCTTAAACAAGTCCGAGAGCCTCAAATGTGTGAGGGCGGGTGGCTGAGATGATAGATTATGATGTTAATCATGTTTTGCAGCACTTGACACGCATGGGGACTGTACATAATCTGTATAATGCATACATGTATTTCACATATTAATTAATTTAATTAAATAACTTCATAGGATACGTGAAATGTTAAATTAATTAGTTTATACTGTCTGTATATGTGCGAAAGTGTGCATGCCTGCCCATGTTTTGCCACAACGTACCGTGCTTATTGAGGTTGTTCTCCATGTTTGAGGAGTTACCAGAGAGGCTGTCCATGGAGTTGGAGTGTGTCCACTGGGACAGGCGGGATTGGGGCTGAGGGGGCTCCTTCAGGGACAGACCCCCAACCTCCATGCAGTTTACATTCATGTTTGGATTCAGTCCAGCTACACACACACACACACACACACACACACACACACACAAAATAATTGTATTAATTATTTATTTATTTATTTATAATATGCATTCCAGTGACAAAATCTAGTAAAAACAGCTCAAAACAAAACAGGAAAAATCAACATTTTAATTGCATAAAATAATTGACCCTCGTTTAGGGGATGCTGTAGGTTCTCACATGTTGTCAGGAGATGGCCTAAATGTGAATCTGCATGTATTAAACATACATGACTATGCACTGATTGTGTTTTTGGTTTGGCACATTCATTATTGGTTCACTAATGTATGTATCGGTGGCCACACTGTATGACATAAGTGCTAATGAATGTATGACAGGGTTGCTACATCAAGGGCTGTAGAAGAATATGACTTCTCTAAACATGCAAGCTATGTTTTAGCAATTGTCCCCATCCCAGACTCACAGAGAGGGTAGGTGCTGTAGGCGTTGGGTGAAGACGGCGGCTCTTTGGTGTGCAGTGTGTCGGCGAGGCCCGGAGCCTGGTGTGGGCCTGTGAAGGGATCCAGGTTTGATTTGCCGGAGACAGGGCCTCCGGTGGGGCCACTGGGAGCATGCAGGCCAGCGGAGGAAGAAGAGGAGGAGGAATGAGAGGGAAGTTGCTGCTGCTTCATCAGTAGCGCCTGGTACAGCTGACGCTGATGCTGCTGGATCTGCTGCTGCATGTTGGTGATTGTACGTGCAACCTGGGTCAGAAAAGTAGCAGTGTCATAACAAAGTATCAACAGTGAAAACAAAAAGACGAAGGAGAGGTGTAATGGAAAGATCATTCAAAGGCAAAGTTGAGATGGTAGTGGGAGAAACAAACACTTGTTCACAAAAGCATCCCCTCTTTCAAAAGGCCTTATCTTGCAGCAGACCTCGGATATCGGTCCAACAAAAGAACCACAATTTTAAAAAAGGAGAACAAACTGTTCCTCTTTCTCACAACAGGCGTAAGACTGGTTGGCTCATGTTCAATGAGAAGTGACCAGAGCACACAGATATCTTAGTTTGAGCAATTCCTGTTATGACAACATGTGTTTTTTCCTGTGTAGCTGTTATGGAGAATCATAATATTTGTGAGAAAAAATGCATTGCGTCAGTATTTTGAGTCAGTATTCACATGGGGTCACACACATAAAATGACTGACATTTATGGTCATACTTTTTGTAGGTGTAATGACTTATTTTGTTGACTCACTTGCTGCTCTTGTTGTCTAATGGGGCCGGAAACATTGCGTTGCGCCTGCATCATCTGCTGCTGGATTTGTAAACGCTGGTACGCCTGAATGAAGAAAACCAAAAATAAAAGTTAATGAATGAAGAATTCATTATTGAAAAAACCTTCAATGGAGTGAAAGATAGGAGTAGTGGGACAAAGGGGTCAAGCGTGATAAATATTTTTCTTACTTCAATGCATTTTAGCTCATCAAAGTGGTAGTCTTAATTCTTGGACTGACAGAAATTAAATTAGAAACTAACATCTAGACCACGTGTTTTAGCTTACTCACCATTTGCAGTTGCTGAAGTTGGTACAAGAGAGTCATCTGTTGAGGGTTTATTGGTGAGGTTAAAAGTGCAGGATTCAGACCAATGTTTTTTGCTGCAAACTGCAAGAGCTGTGCTTGGACCTGAGGTGGGGCGGTGGGGGAGATGGGGCAGAAAGGAGAGATGACAAGTTAATTACTGCAAATCAGAACACTTGTACAATAGTAGCTTCTGGTAAGGTAGAACTAGTCACAACTACATGGGAGCAAGGAGGAAAAGAGAAGAGAAAGGGTCTGCCAGAGGAGTACGAGTCCAAGGAAAAAAACCTCACAATATATTTCCACTGATTTACTTCTACAGTTTGGAGTATGGCAGGCTGAAATGAAACTAGCTGTTTTGGATTCTTGAGAAACATATTACTCAGATTGTGCACACACTGGGAAGTGTAAAAACAGATAATAATTCTCGTACGCAACCAAAGTATGTTATTGTTCGGAGTCATCACAAAAGCATGGCACAGTTTTATGCAGAAGAAATATGCACTAGTAGATAAATCATTGGACAATAAGCACAACCCGCCAACCACCTTTTACCTGGTTGTTATGAACCGATGTAGCTCTAAGTTACACATCCAATACCTACATCATTATGTGCGTGTATCTACCTGAGGGGAGAGAAACTGAGGCACTTGAGCACGTAGACTAGGCTGGGAGGAGCTGAGAGGTGGCACTGGTGGCTGAGGAGGCTGCTGCTGCTGCTGCTGCATGGCCCGGGTTTGTGCTGCTCCACTACTGCCAAACATTCCACTGGGTATCTAAGAGCAGGAGTCAGAAAAGGTACAATGAAACTTCTTCAAAACCATTTGAAGGCATTTGATACAATTTCCTTAGTGAAGAGCTGAGCTACTGCCTTGGAAAGAAATGTCTTAGTCTTGACCACTTCAGTTACAGGATATTTCAAGCAAGGCATCCAATAGTTGAGCATTCAAATGTCAAGTCTTTATAAATTTGATGGGTTTCTTTCAATACACAAATGAGTGCACTTGAATTGGATAAAAAAGAAAACTTAAAGTGCACTCAAAAGCCTAGTGTGGGTCGACAATATTCCCAGCCCACATGGCGATGTCTAAAAATTTTGTTCAAAGCATTTACCCTCAAGGTCTGACTTCACAGTACACGTTGTGCACCAAACTGTATACTGATCACTATGAACAGCTAATTGTTAGATCAGGAAATAATCATAAAATTGTGTCTCTTTTGATTTATCAAATGGCCCAAAACAATTAGGCTGTACACAACAGCTTCATCCACATTTCCGATACCATGTTGTTGAAGAGGTCTTTCTATTCAGGGAGAAAAAAGGCCGCTTACAGTGCCTTTGTTTGGAATTCAAGGACACACTGCAGTTTTTCTGGGCCATGGCTGCCTCTGGGGGTGATATTTGATAGAGCATAACTATCTGATTTCAATGGGCACTTCAGGCAAGGTCATACCCACATAAGTGAGCAATAGAAAAGTAGAGATTTGGGAGAGCGTGTGGTAGAGAGGTGTGTGTAAATCAAATTAAGTTTATCTGTTGCTGCCATCATTACATCATATACGCTTAAATGCTGCACAAAGGTACTCATTTGTAAGCATTTGCAGTGTGACAAACACAATCTGTTGATCGAAATATGCTTTGCACTGACTAATGTTTGGTATCCGTCAGTATACTCTATAGTGAATAAAGCACTCACTAAAACATACTCAAGTCTGAAAACACTTACATTTTTGTCTTAAATTGTGGACCGCAAATGATGTGTATCAATGTGAAGTGTATGTTTTCCTATCTATAAACTATGTTTCACAGCAGGTAAGATAAAATAACCACTGCACAAAATTGTATGATTATATATACACACACACATTATCCCCAAAATTCCCACAAATTCAACAATGTTACATAAGCATGAACAGAACATTATAATCTTCACAAAGGTTTTTACTGCAGGTTCATTATTTGGATTGTTATTTTTTCCCAGTTCTGTGACAGTGTGTGGTGTAACAATGTGTGCTCAGTGTGTTACCTGTTGTCTGTTGTTCAAGTTTTGCATGGCCAGCCCCGGGTTGCCCTGTCCCAGACCCTGCCCAGAAAGGCTACTGTTGGCCAGGGGGAGCTTCAGGCTGGGGGAAGGCAGAAACGGTGATGGGGGCGCATCATCAGACATAACACCATCCTGGAACAGAGCAAAATGAATGGTTAATGGGGGAATACAGATACAATGATAAAAAAAAAAGCATTAATAATTACACAATACCAACATGAATGATTAAGTGAGTGGGGATTGGATTAAGATTTGCAGTTCACACTAATCATTTCCAATAGATGCTTCATGTCTTACTTTGTCAAGAAAGGTGTTGCGGTCCGAGGGGTCTTTGGAGAGTCCAGAGGGCCGACACACCATGGGCTTGTTCATGCCGTTGCTGTAATCAGACATGCCCATGCCTCGCTTGTCCAGGTCTGTCTTCTTCTCCAACAGGGCGCCTGGGAGCAGACAGGAGGATTTATTGTAAAGTCTAGATGTGAAAATATACTGCGTAATAAAATCAAATGATACATTTTTAATGTATTTGATCTACAGTGATGTAATTTAAATGTCTATATATAATGTCTTTTTTGTCTATACATATCAATACACTGTACAATTTTGATCAATCCAATACAACTGCTCTGCCATAAATTTTACTTTTCGTAGGCATATAACACTGTTATATAAACACAGTCATAATAGAGTTAATCAAATTATATGGTTCAGCATTGAGGTCATATTTAATGCTATTTTTGTTGTTGTAGTGGACTGTCTTGTATTTAGATGTGTTCCTAATAGGGATATCTTAATCAAGTTTTTTAGTCTCTGATCCGATCAGAGTGATTTAATACTGAGCATCTTGAATTGAATTTTAGATAATTCAGTTGCACAGCGACACTTCAAGTACATTAAAGTAAAAAAAAAAAAAAAAAAATCAATCCACTGTATATGCTTGACAATTAAATTACTCTGCAATTCATCAAGACAACAAAAACTGCTGTGCTTTATTAACACATGACACTCTGAAGGGAGTTTCTCTCTCCAGTGTTTGGTGCAGCCTCTGCCTGAGTTACCTGAATGAACTATTCTGCTGCATCTACATCTACATCTTTTGCGCAGATTACATTAATTAATTACTCTTATTGGCTTTTGTTGTGCTTGCAGTAGTGTGTTGAGTGTACTGCTCTCTCCTCTGAGCAGAGGCAGCCCTGCTCTCTCACATACACACAAAGATCAGATCATAAGATCAGATGGGGTACATTAAAGCACAATATAGCAGATACCGTTCATTTAAAAAAATACCTTGATCGGCGCTGATACCAATCGTTCAGTTAGGATCAGGATATCCCTAGTTCCTAATATTAATTATATTCAATATAATGTAGTCCAGTACAATGCCACTTTTAACAATGACCTTAATAATAAACATATCATTTCATTTGTAAAGTCAGAGCTGTTGTATAGAATTGCATTAGATTGTACAGGTGTACCTAATGCAATAGTGGCCATTTTATGTCTATATACACTTTGGGTATGCTGACAGTAAACAAAATCTAGCGTTCATTGAAATCAAGTCATGAAAAGCATGGCTTAGTATTTTTCCCTTTTGAATTGAAGTAGGAATGTGGCAAAAGAATTGAATTATGATTTTATATCAGCTGTGAATTTGTGCAGTCATACTGAGTCATAATAGCATTTGCAATATACACACAAGGACACATACTCTACACAAATGTTGGTGAACTTACTCATGGCCTGGTCAAGGTTCATGTTGTTGCTCTTCAAAGCCTCCTCAGCAGGGTCTCTCTGTAACACATGCATTTTGTTGATTTAATTGTTTATTTTTACAGGGACAAGTACGCAGCATAAACAAATGCAACACACCACTGACCATGGTTTACTTGCCTTTTTAAACAAATGTTCTCAAATTTAGAAGGATATACTTGTCGTTTATCTCTGTGTTAATTGATTGTGCATATCTTCATGTGTTTCTACATTGCATAGCAGAGGAGCCTGTATTTAATCCAAAATGTACATGGTTGTAGATTGGAACTTTTAAGGCCTAGTTGGGTAAAAATAGTAGAAATATCAGCCTAAAAGAAAGTCTGTGTGTGTGAGAACTTCTTTCTAAATATATTGTCTCCTTACCGGAAAGCCCATGTCAGTGAGCTGTTTGATGAGACGGTTCATTATCCAAGCCTCATCTGGCTTGTTGACAATCTTCCCCTGAAAACACACAAGCAAAATATGAAATTGACTGTTAGATGGAAATGGTTTCCACCGTTAACATCTGCCAGTATATTTATGAATCAGGTGTTCTCTCTGACCTTGCTTGGGCCCTTCTTGACTCCATTGCCCCAGGAGTTGCAAGAAGAGCTGCTCTCCTGAGAGGTGGGGCTGTTCCACATGTCCCCATCCTCTGTGTCCCACTGGCTAGTAGACATGCCCATCTCCTCTCCTCCATTTCCCCAGCTATCTTGCATAGGTTTGGGGCCTGACAAAGATCAAAGACAGAATGAAAGTGTGAGAAATTTTAAGATGAAAACAACAATAAAAAGTTTGTTGCTTATCTGTTACAATGTTTTAGTATCTGGGATGTATCCTACATGCACACTGAGAATGCACAAGCCATTGCAGAGGGTGACCAGCAGGTAAATTTCAACCTGACCACTTGGTGTCACTGTTGCCATTTAACATGCTGCATTTTTCTCCTACACCTCCCTCTACCATTTCCAACATTTCAAACCAACAGCACAAATAACCAAGACCTACTGAGGCGTGGAATTGCTTTTATCACAGCAACACTCCGGTAACACTAACAAAAACCTTCAGAATTGGCACAGATGGCATAGGTCTCAAACAACTTCCTCTGTTTGTTCCATTAACTGAAGTATGGTAGTGCACATATACTGGGAGTTACCATCAATCTTTTTTTTTTTACAGGAGATTGGGGAAATGACTGGACACAACCCAAATCTCAAATGCTCAAATTTTACTGACAGGCTGAAACAGAATAGCTAATTTACATTATCTTCCAAATGTCACACAATCTGTGCCATACACTATGTAAATGTAAAGTGTGCAGTATCGTATGGACTTTCCTTGTATACCAACACATCCAAAGCTAACCTAAAACACTGATCTGCTCTGTGTCACAGTTCACTATGGAGGTATAAGCAACCAGAAGGGGTATGTGAGTTTGATCAATAACCAATGGTACTAAACAAAGTCCTGAATCTTGGTACATTCTGATTACCCATGGTTGACATCATGCATTGCTGCAAATATTATTCATTTGTGGGTGTTACCTGGCTTGCAGGGAGCAGAACTTGGGGGTCCATTGGCCCTGCCATAGGGTCCAGAGGGCTCGTGACCACCGTCTCCCCATGCCCCTACTCCCCCTGAGGGCTTGCCCCAGGCAGAGGTGCCATTGTCCACAGTTGATGTTGGAGCTGCTGGCTCTCCCCAAGCAGGCTCCGACTTGGGTTGAACACTGGGAAGTTCTCCCCAACCTGGAAGAAAGAAGTAAATTAGAAAAAATGATAAAAAATGAATTTCACTGCAGTAAAATCTTTATCCGCTGACAATTTTTACTTTAACTTGCAGAAATACACCAGTCCCATTAAGTACTATTCAAGACATGTTGGTTTCACATTAGCTCCAGGGAAATCTATATTGTATTTAACCAGAAACTATATGCAGGTAAGATAGTACCATGCTGTCTATATATAGAGGGTTTTCATGCCAGCCTCCTCCTGACAGCAGCAGGCCCTTGACCAGCTCAGTCTGCCTCATCAGGTGGTGTGTGTGTGTATAAATGTGTAGGAGGAGGAGACGGACGAAAGCAGTAGCTCAGGCCAGCCGGTACAGGCTTTTCCACTCCATCTCTTCTCTCTCCTCCTCTATATATTGGCTTCAGTAGAGATGGATGATTGGGTATAACTGTTTCATGATTATCTGGGTGCAATACAAATTGCAACCAGCAGGGGGCAATGGTCTCATTCACAATCAAGAGGGGAGAATGTTGGCCCTTAAAGCTGTGCCATGTCTATATGCATGGCCTTTGTCTCCACAAAGATTTATTTGAACTGACTGGAGCGCTAACTTAGGCTTGCTTACATTACAGTCTTAATTAGGTGTGCATAATACATTAAGAGACCCTCAAAACCAGTGAGAGAATCAGTTTAACAAATACTGTAAGAATCCTTTTAAGGAATAATCTAAATGGAATAACCATTGTTACCAAAGTTAGTTACTTTATGTGTAGATGAGTGCAAAAAAACCTGTTTAAACTTTGTCCCATCTCTGTACTTCATTCAGCTCAAAATTAAGACCAACTCTAAAAGCTTAATACCATTCAATAAAACATACTTATGTTCTCATTTAAAAACTGCGGTTTTCTAAATCCTTTTTTTTTTTGAGTATTTTCCTTACACAGTGCATTTTTAACATTCCAGTGTCTTTTTTTGTTGGTTTTAAAGAGACTAGTAACTTTTAGCATTTTCAGAATGTCACATATTACTTTAATTTTAACTGATGTGAGGTTTTTAACACAACAGAAACAGCCATACTGTGTTACCTGGGTTGGCGAGGGGAGGTCTACCCTGGGGGCCCGCACCTGGATGTGAGGCACCATTGTTGGGTGACCCATTGTTGTGTGACCCATTGTTGTTTCCATGGTGTTGCAGGTGAGTTGGGGGTTGGCCATGATGAGGATGGTGATGCATGTGGTGAGGGTGATGGTGATTGTTGTTGCTAGGGCCAACTGAGTGATTGTTGTTGTTATTGTTGGGAATAATCACTCCACCATTCTTACTGGGAGGTGGGCCGCTGTTGCCTGGGTTACCACTGGGATTGTTGCGATCCCACATGTTGACAGTTTTGTTGTAGTTCGTGGGATCGCCCCAGGTGGACGTTCCATCGTCAATCTCCATCTTCCTGCGGACGGAGGGAGGGGAGGGCTCTTCCCAGCCAGTGGGCTCCATGCCCTGGTCCTGTTTGCCATTGCCCCAACTTGGCGTGTTCTGCTTCACAGAACCGGGACCACCCCATGAACCAATGCTGCCACCTCCTCCGCTGCCATTGCTGCTGCTGCTGCTGCTGCTTTCCTGGGGCTTGGAAGATCCCCAGCCTCCTTGCACTGGGCCATTGGAACGTGGGGTCTCACCCCAGCTGCTATTACTCACAGTAGGAGCCGGCTTACCCCAACCTCCTCCTCTATTTCCTCCTCTGGGGCTTTCCTTCCATCCACCACTTCCTCCATTCCCTGCTTCTCCCTCCCACATGCTGCTGGAGGATCCATTGTTCTTGACCTCTGCCTCTCCCCACTCCCCTGTGCTGGAGCCATTGGTGCCCCCATTACTGTTGCCCCAACCATGGGAGTTTTTGGGGCCCTCTCCCCAGCTAGTAGTCTGGCTTTTCGTCAGGCCATCATCCCAACTGGGTGTCTTGTCCTCAGAACCCCAGGATGGTGTGCCTCCATTTCTAGGACCACTGGTAGGCAAGGGCTCTCCCCAGCCACTGGTAGTGCCATTTGGGGCTTTGCTGAGTGACTGTGGGGGGTCCCGCCATCCTGATCCAGTCTGGATTGGCTGAGGTGGAGGAGCTCCCCAGCCAGAGGATGATGGTCCTTCACTGTCACTTTTTCCTCCAGACCCAGGCCTTTGGTTAGGGCCAATGTTTGGGTTGACGGTGCCTCCATTGGTGGATGTGTGTCCACCATTAGAACTGGAGCCTCCTAAGGTGTCTGAGCTGCTGTTGCTCTTCCCATCATCAGAGTTGGCTTCTTCCATCTCCCATACAGTGTGCTGTCGGATGGGCGTCTGTCCCCAACCCGTGTTACTTAGCACCCTAGGGTCTAGGTCCTGCCGGGGTAGCATAGGGGAATAATCCATGCTGGAGGACCTGTCTCTCTGTTGGGATTGACCTTCGTTGCTATCTCCACTACCCTCGCTTGCTGGGGCTGTACCAGGCTGCTGGCCCCATGAGCTAAGTTGCTGTTCCTGTCCTGAACCAGAACTACCAGCATCTATTGAGTCCCAGCCTTTAGATGCTTCTCCACCACCAGAGGATTTCCCCCAGTCACCCCAGCCACCACTTCCACTACTCCCACCGCCACTGCCTTGGCGGCCCCAAGTAGAATGGCCTCCAGAGGGAGTTGAGTCCCAGCCTGAGTCCTTGGGAGAGTCAGCTGCCTTGGTTTCTCCACTTCCCCATACAGAGCTGCCTGTTGTGTCCCCATTAAGCTGGGATGATTCAGTGGGTGACTGGCCTCCCCAGCCAGTTAACCCATGGATAGGGCTCATAGGCTCCTGAGCTTGCTGCAGTTGCTTAGTGTGGTTTGGTCCATCAGTGTTAAGGTTAGCAGGTTCCATATTGAAGGACAAACTTGTGTTGGTTGAAGGGTGTTGTTGATCATTTTCGTTAGCACTCATCATGCCAACCCAACCTCCCCCACCATTATCCGCACCTCCCAGGCTCCCATTTCCCATATTTCCATTGCCATTAATACCTGGTGGGAGGGATGGGGAGTTTGACACTCCATTGGGGCCAATACCACCACCTCCACCACCCTCATGGCCCAGAACAGGCCAGGCAGATGGGTTGGCATTGGGATTGAGGTTCAAGTTAAAATTGGGAGAGCCCCAGTTACTGGGTGCTCCTACTCGGCCACCATTCATACCATCTTGTTTCCCATCAGAGCCCCAGCCTCTATTACCAGCTAATGTGTTGGCTGACCCAGGTCCTGTCATCATGTGATTGTTAGCTTTGAGAGAGGGGTAGTGGGCCTGCTGGCCTGTGGCACCTGTGGCCATACTCAGAAAACTACTACTACTGGTGGTAGTGACAGCACTGGTGTCTTGGTTAGAGTTAGTTGAGCCCAAGGGGCATTCTGGTGCTGCAGGGTGGGTGGGGTCACTACTGCGGCTGATGGAGGGCCAAGCTTCTGTGTCACTTCCGTCAATAATCACTTTGTCCCAGCTGTTGGCACTGGAGGGGCTGTCAACTGGCAAAGAGGCTCCCCAATGAGAGGTCTCATACTGGGCAACAGGGCCACTCTGGAGGGATATGTCTGAAAGAGAAAGAGAGAGAAGGAAAAGAGGTTGAGACAAAGTTGAACACAGGAATACAACACAGGAGGTAGGTGGAGATGAGTCATTCAGATAAAAACAAAAGTAGATTTAAGTGGAAGAAGATGCAGAAATGCAAATAATAAAGAAGAAATGGAGTAACAGGAGTAGAGACAAAAAGTAAAAAAAAAGAAAACAAAAGAGGGTGAGAAAGGGTGGGGGGTGGGGTGGAGAAAGAAAAAATACATTAGGTTAGACTAAGGAACATCATGTAATACAGCCTCCGTTAGTCCCCTAGACCAATTCTATCTTCTTGGTTGGTTAATGCTAGCTATCAGACTTGGCAGGATGAGATGGGCACACACTTGCACATTCGTTCTACAATCCAACGCATAATCAGAATGCACAGCCAAGCGTGCTACATGTCATATCAGCTATGGCATATCCATATATCCTTGCCCTGGTGCAGTCAGCCAAACAGAAACAGGGAGAGGGAGCCCTCGCTTTATTAACTCTATCCATCCTTCTATCCTCCTTTCTCTTCACTTGACTTCCTTTTTCACTTCTCTTTCCATTTCGTTTCCTTTACCTCGCCGTCTTGTTTTGCCCCTTCCTTCTCAACCCCCCCGCGCGCGCGCGTTCTCCCTCCGTCTAGGTTGCCTCTCTCACTTTCTGCCCCCACCTCTTTCCTCACCCTTTAATTTCTCCCTCTCTCCCCTCTGCTCTCCTCTGCTCTCCTCTAACACCCAGCAGTGAGAGGCCCATCCGTCTCCATCGTGGCTTCGCTGGCTGGGGCTGTGAAGGGAAGCCCATGTGGAACGCCGCTCATTTATTGGAATAAAACCAGGATGGCTTCTCATCCATCACTCCCTACGCTCCACCGGGCCTACTCCTCCTCCAACTGCACTGCACTAAGAAACCACAAAACACTTCCTCCAAACGTGTGTGAATATGTGTGTGTCTGTTGGCTTCTCACTACCTGCCTATGCATCATACTGCATGTGTATGCATGCATGTGCATTTGATTGTGTATGCTTCCAGATCAGTTGTTATCACAATCTGAGAACTGCGTGCAAATCACGTCCTACTACTTACAGACTTTTAGGCATGATCTAGAAATTCAGTACCACACCACGAAAAACAGCATTTCCAAAAATTCTCCCTTTCAACATGGTTTTGTAAACAGGCAATTTCATTAGGGACAAAAGCCTCCCATCAGAGGGGCAACTAATAATATACTGATTCGATGCTGTAAAGGGGTAATCAATCAGTGGGAGGCAGCTAATCAATGATCTTATTAATGCTAGTGGGCGAGGGCAGGGAGAGTATTGATCCAGCATGCAAACATCACCACTGATGTTTGCACTGATGTTTGCATGAGGCTGGCCAACACCACAAGGCCAGCATCATGTAATGGACTAAAAACCTATGAGAACTGCTATTAATCCCACTAACACATAGGCCAGCCAAGAGTATAAAGGGAAAAATGTATGCAGAAATGCTTGGAGGAGAAAAGAGCATTAATCTGTATTATGAAATGGCCAAAATGTGTATAGTAAAGTATTATATTCATGTGCAAACATCATATTTCTGATGAAAATATACAAGCTTAATACAAGCTTAATATGTTTTTATGGTGACTATAGCACATATGAATACATATGAACAAAGTGCAATGCTAGACCATATACAACACAAGCTGTCTTTTTCAACAATCATTAGAAGCCTAATAGACAATAATACATTTCTGGCAAACTTCCTGAACAGCTGCGTGCGAGTGAGAAGAGTGGCTCACTAACCTTTAATTATAAGACACAGGCTGTTTGTAAAATATTTGCCTTGTTTAGTATTAAGCTGCCTTACCTTCTATTACTCTGCCATTAGTTTCCATCAGATTGTTGCAGTGATTTCCATAATAGCTATAAGTTATCCATCATGAGATAAAGACCCAGTGGTCAAAACAATCAAGTCAGATGAGGGAAAAGCCAATTTGTTTGAGGTGTGTGGACACATAGACACACAAAAATACTGGCAGATATGTGGCTTTAAGATACTGCATTACAAGCCACCGAGTGGCTGCGAATGCAATTTTTGCCTGAACACACTTATCTCCACTCCCCAGGCAGCCTTATCGCAAAGGGTCGTCAGACTGATGACACACACACACACACACGCACACGCAGAGTTTACCATCAGTTGAACACAGAAAGAAAACTACTGAAACATCACAGCAGAAGTGATCCCTCACAACTGCTGTAACAGTGCCAGTTTTTTTGAGGAAAGTTAGAAGTTGTTCAAACTTAAAAACAAACCAGATGAGAGCCTTCTATTACAAAGCGAAAGCCTAATCTTAGTTTGCAAGACAAATGGCCAACGCAATGGAGAGTGGATGCAAAAATTTGTCAAGTGGAACTATTAAGGAATCCTTCTAGAAGATATTCAAGGAATTTAACTCAGTTTATCACTGATTTTGTTTTATATAAAAATCATAGGAAAAGTAGGAAAAAAAGAGATGTTACAATAACTGAACTTCCTCTTCTGACATGGAGGGATAGTCTTGCTGTTGAAGTGCAATGACCTGAGTCTACATTTATTTTAGTTAAAAAAAACATTTTAAAAAGGCATCTAAATCAAGGTGTTTGGGTATCAAATATCGCTGCTTGTGCCACTATATGAGGTTTGAGTTCCACCACAATTGTGTGTGTAAAGTGTCTGTTTCACAAAAGGCTGATTTGGCACTATTTCAGACCTATTGATTTGATAGATGCCTGCTTGCCACCCAGTCATGAAACAAAACCCAAACAGTTGGTCTTTTCAGTTACCACTGCAAGCTTTCAGTGGCTTATAGGTGTTTAGTTTTCAAAACACAGAGAAATAAACATGACAGCCTAATTTAAAGCCACAGATGTAACTCTTTCTGCTTTGTCCCACCTCTGTCAATGATTGCTTTCCAAGCAAAAAAATAGTTTTTATTGGACCTGAAACATAGCAACAAAGCTCAGAGGCCGCAGCCTTAGAAAAGATTTTATTCGGTCAACCCCCACCCGGTTAATCTTTCTCTCACTCTCTTTGTCTCAATCTCATTTGCACGTTTAGGTTCCTGAAGAGTGTAAAAATAGGTTACGTGATAAGTTAATCAAAGTCTGTCTGGAAAGCTGCCATCTTTTTATCACTCCTGTCACAGACCATATGAACAAATTTCAAACAAAAAAACCCCACATGAAAAAAAAGGAAAGTGACTGTGTGTTGCCTGCAGTGAAAAAAGGGGTCAGTCTGAGAGAAAGAGAGAGAGTGGAAAAATACCTGAGGAGATATACACCAGCGCCACTCTAAGAGTGCTTATACAGATCCATGCAGGGATGGGAAACAGCAGACATCCTCTTAGTATGTCTGCGGCAATGCTACCTGGTCAGATACTAAATCACAACACCGATACACTGCTGCTACTGAGTGACTGAGCTGTATGTTGGACCTACAGTATGTGCAGTGTGTGCAGGCATTTGTGTAACTGTGTGCATAACGTGAATAACAATTTTGGGTGTCCGCCCTGCCCGTGAATCTAGGGCTCCATAAAAAACGAGTATTTATTGCAGGACTATGGTCTTGGATTGCATTATACTGTATAAGTGCTAATGCTATTGTGTCTACCTCAGTAAATATGTACATGTGTGGACTAATGCAAAACAGCCTCTTTTTCCTTTCACCTCAACATGTCTCGATTGTTCCCCTTTCAACTCCCTCCCCAGACATTCCAACAGAAAGGTCTTGCTGATTCTTGGCAAAGCAGTGATTTGGCAGGGGAGAGAAAGCAAGCTGAACATGAAAAACAAAGAAAAGGGGACAATTATTTCCATCCACCATTTGCAATCATGTGTCAGTAATGTGGTGCTTTCATTCTGGTTGCAATTAGGAGGGCAGTCTCTGATTACGCTTTGTGAATAAAAAGGGTCAAAAATAAAAAACGAAGGGGCTCTTTAATAATTCCTCATGCTTCCAACAGGGAGCGAGGCTGCCTTTTTGTGTGCATGTATGTGCAAGTCCGCACGTGCAGATGCAGACTTGCTTTCTAAGAACCTGGACTATAGCTAAATAAAAAAAAACATCCCTAATGATGAGCTCACCAGCAGCACGCTGAAAAGAAAGCGACATTAAACAACAGCGACATCACACTGAAGCTGTGATGCCAGCTTGCCAGAGTTGAAGCAGAAATAAGCAAGAGATGAGCCTCTGATAATGAGACGAGCTGCCATCATAGAAATGGGCAGGTAGCCAAGAAATAAATGCCTCCCCTCCCCTTTGAATGAAATGAAAGGCAGGGTGAGAGAAAGAGAGAGGGAGAGGGTGGTAGAGAGAGATGGAGGAAAGTCTGTGGGGGGGGTTGGCACTTGCAATGTCAAGGGAAAAGAAAGGGAGATGAAGAGAGAGAAAGCATGAACAGGCCGAGAGAGACGGTGTGGCAATAAATGGATTCTTCAGTTCAACTGTGAGCTGAAGACCACGCTTGGTTTTCTCAGAGCACACTGTAGGGTGACATAACACCAGAACCAGAGCAGGAGGGGTTCGTTTAGTAATCTTTTGTCCCCAAATAGACCCTCTCCATCTCTCTTTGAGGGGTGCTTTACACCCACTCGGATCAAAGATGGTATGTACTTGTTTTTCCAGAAGCACGGAGAAAAAGAAAGACAGAGGGAACGGTCACAGGAGGGTTTAAAAAGCTCATCATTCATGTCTGTTTACCTCTACTGAGAGAAGAGAGAAAATAGGAGAGCGAGACCATGGTGACTTCTCTGGTTTCCCTGACAGAGGCTGGATTAATGAAGCCACTAGGGGCTTCTCTCACTTGTGTGTGAATGTGTGTGTGTCACAGCCTGAGCACATGGGCTAATCTATACCCCCCTGGCTTCATTAGGTCCAAGTAGTCTTGTGATTATTTAATGATTTTAGAAAATACAAATGACCATGATCTACAGTAAGTGGTAGTTATTTTTTACATCTTAATGGTTCCATGTGTGAAGAAGTATGTATTGTATTTGAGATGGTACTTAAAGAACAACGCAGGTTTTTTTTAAATTAAGAAATTGTTCAGTATTTTAAAAAGACAACCCTGTCTTTTTTGAGTAAAAGCAACACTCTGTTCAACCTTCACACTATGTATTTAACTTAAATAAGATATGCTCAAAAACCCAACTGCTTTACCTGCTAATCAAAAGGGCCAAAAATGAAAGGGCCAAGTGTTTTAACAGCACCCAGCAGAGTGCCTTCTGGCTACATGTTCTGTCTGGGTGACCAGCAAACAGCTGTTCGGTTGCAGTTCCCACAGTCTTAAAAGACCCCCACTCCAGCACCTGCTACTGGGGAGCCTGTCTGGATGGCTGCTTGCTGCACCGGACTACTTAATGGTCCCCAGTCAGCTGGAGAGATGGGGACTGTGGGTGCGAGAGAGGGAGGGAGAGGGGACAGGGGGTCTCTGTCTGGTGTTTGAGACAATTAAATGGGGTTTCAGAGAGCAGAGGTTACATGGGAGTGGTGTGAATGCCCTTGAATCTATAGGGGAGGTTGTGTTTCAGACTGTGTGGATTGGGTAGTGTGTGTGGATAGTCCACTGGAATGTTAAACATCACACTCACACACCCTTAAATTTAATATGGCCTAATATGAAATTAGCATGATTGTTTTTTTTACCTTATGTGTGTAAAGTACTCAAAAAATGGTTGGAAGAAATGCATTTAACCTTAGGACATCTATCTACTGTGTGTGTGTGTGTGTGTGTGTGTGTGTGTGTGTGTGTGTGTGTGTGTGTGTGTGTGTGCGCGCGCACACATTCCCCTTTAAACTCAGAGACAGCTGGCCTGCAAGGCAGACACGGATCTGAGAGGACAGAACTGGGTCAGACTAGTATGTTCTTACTGCTGCACAGCCACTACATCTATGTGAATGTGTTTGTGTTTGCATGCGCAAGTACAAAAGTGTTGGAGTATCTGAGTGGAGCCATAACATCGTCACATCCCTTTGGGCCACAGTATCCTCACCAGAGAGGTTTAGAAATGTGCCCTCAAAACAGAGTTCATTGCTTGCTTACATTGAGGAAGGAAACTAATCTGTACTTGCACGCAGCATACATAATATTACACATGAACATAACATGATACTGTGATTTTGATCAAAGTTGTATACCTTTACATTTAGAAAAAGAAGAATTTATCTTCTCTTACTTATGATAATGATGCACATAATTCTTTAATGGTTGAAAAAGTTCAAAACACAATCTGCAGTCTGGCAAAATTCATAAATAGGTGTTCTGTTGGATCTCCTTTTCAGATCCTTCATATTGCCACAAACACAACCACTGCAGTGAGAACTGGTAATTACAGAGTGGGACCTGGTGTAGTACTTTTATTGTTATCTGTGGCAATTGAAAAAAAAGTTATTTTTCAATCTTCTACTCCAAAAGCACCACTGGGGTTATATCTACAAGTGCAGAGTAGTAAGTTTAACTACAATGTCCACTCTCTAAATTATACATGCCGGAATCATTGTAACAACATGGTCACTAGCTTGAGGCTATTAGCTGAGCGGGCAGGAAAGAACAGGCTGTGAAGGGGAAGCCCTTAGGACAAGAATGAGAGGGGAAGTGGGAAGAAACCTAGCCAATGGCTACTCTGCCACAGGCTGTTGTATTGAAATGCTCCTGAGAAAACCAGGGTGAGGTAAAGGCCAAACAAGACAACAACTGCTGGACTAGGACAAAAATAACTATATATATATATATATATATATATATATATTCTATATCTAAAAGGCTTAGAAGTATTGCTTCTCTTGAGTGGGTTAAGATTGCAGCCAAATTTAGATCCTGGCCCACAGCTCAATAAACTAAAACTAAACAGGTGAGCAAAGAGAGGAAATGTAATAGAAATGAGAAGCTTTCCAGCTTCTGAACTCATAATTCCAGGATAAAACAAATTGTTCTAAATTATAAATGTTTAAATATTGTTTGTGAAATGTTCATTCACAGCATTATTCATTAACCTTTAACTGCACAGAAACGCATTTAAAAAAGCCTCATAAAACTGTGTGTAAGTATATGGACTGATAAATGAGGCACAACTTGCAAAAATCACTAAAAGGCTACACAGACTTTAAGCTTTTGTTTGATGCTGTGATTGGTGGCTTAGGCCTAAACACAAGAAAAACGGCGACTAGACGGAGCATACAAGCACCAGTTGCCTCTGTGATGCAGAGGGCTGTAGTTTGCTGACTGGCTAGCCATGCGCCACAGCTGCTGCAGATTTGTTTACTGAGTGCCTGGTGTTCTCCAAGCAAATGTTGAGTCAGTAATGAAAGGCAGCACTAAGCAGCAAAGGAGCATTGATGAAAAGAAAGAAAATAGAAAAGAAACAGGGAGAAGAAAAACCCAACAAAGATGCCCGCAGATGCTCATGCTAGCTCCTGCTCAAAAACTTGAACATGAAAACACTGTGTGGTGTGCTACAGAGATACCCTTGCATCTTCAAAGTTACAGTGTGTTGTGTTAGAGGATGTGAGAATATGGTTATGATTGCTTTGTGGACAGGAAGAAAAAAAAACTCTTTAGAAGAATGCCAGGCTGTGTTCAGGATATCAAAAAAAGCTGAAATAATGATGGAAATCAAAAAATCTTAAGCGTGCACATGAGAAGAAACACTAATATTCACTGACTGACAGGAATACAGCTGTAATAATGATATAAATAACTCATGGCCATCCTTTCTTTATCAACAGTTAGATACAAACACACACAAGCTGCAGTACAATGCGCATCTTAAGGCAGATTCAGCATTAGTGATCTTAGGGGCCACGAGTAAGTTCAATAAAAAGTTAATAACGCTGGCTACAGAGGTCTGAGAGTGTGTGCATGCATGTGTGTGGTTCTGTGAGTCGAGAAAAAGAGCACACAGAGGCTTAAACATCTGAACCATGTTCTTCTAACTTGGACAAAACAATCCAAACAAGATTTCCCAAGGCTTTGAAAGAATTTGCTGTTATTATTGCTAGTGTTATAAGCACCAGATCCAGACTAACTGCACAGACCTACTTTGGAAACAGTTGTCAGAATCCTTTCAGAAGGCCAAAGAAAGGGAAAAGGAAAAAGCAGTCAACTGAAAACAGCTTAGATTAGAGTCTTAAATTTGAATTTGGTTTTAATTTGGTCAGCCTACCTACATAATTTAGGAGCTGTATCTAGTCATTATTTCATACTGGAAGTGAAGGTGAGCTGTTAAACTACAATTATAATCACCATAATTTATTGTCCTGACAATGCAGTAAATCTCTCAAAGCTGCTTTTCATATCAGTGTATATGTCCCAAGGCAAACTGAATACAAACTCTGAAATGAAGCTAAATGGGACTGGATAATCAAAACCATTTATAATCTCCAACACATTTGTCTTACAAAATTTGGGAAAATCAAAGAAAACGTAACAAGATGCAGGATGATAGATTTAAAGGACGAGTTACGCAGTGAAATGTCACTAAACATGCAGCCAGTATACAGCCAACATGCACCGCACTGAAAAACAACATCAAACTAAATGAAATTTTAAGATGAGACAATCTTAAAAAACAGCCACCATAAAAGCGTTAAAACAACAACAACAACAACAACAACAACAACAACATCTATTTCAGGGCAATTTTTTTACTGTACTGACACCAACCTGGGTGGCGTTTGCCCACAGTGGACGTGGCAGAGTTTGGGGTAGTGCTGCTGGTAGTCGTAGAAGAAGAAGAGTAAGATGATGAGGGCGAAGAGGAGGAGGAGGAAGAGGAGGAGGAGAGGGTGAGAGCGCTGAGGGCTCCTGCAGGCAGTGGCTGGCCTCTCTTCAGTAGCTGCCTGTGCTCCTGCTGGCGGAAGCGCGGGGGCACCTCTCTGGGTGGGTAGCGAGCACTGGCAGAGGACAACTGGCACTGCTGCTGAGGGGGAGTCTGAGTCGGGAGTTGGCTACTGGAGGAGGCGCACTTGCCATTGCCAGAAGAAGAAGAGGAGGAGGAGAGGGGCAGCGTAGGGCTGGCGGGGTGGAGGTGGTGGGGTGGGCCAAGACTGGGCTTAGTGGGAGCAGGCTCTGGCACTGGATGGATACAATACACAGGCACACAGACACATACAGACAGACACACACATACACACACAGAGAAAGACACATACAGGTAGCAAGGTATTAATGTCTGGGTTAACTCACTATTAGCCTTTTATATCACATAAATATATTTGCTGGGTAGTTTAGACATTGAAAACATGTTTATGTTGACATTTATGTTGAAATGTCTGTCAGCATATAAGCAGTGAAGTTTTCCTGAGCAGTAGTCCAGTTAAATCAATTCCTTGGTAACCCAAATTCTGTTTTTTAAGGATTACTGCACTACAGTAGTGGAGATAGCACAGAAAATAGCTAACTTATCAAGTTATATTTTAGAAGTATGTGACGGAAAAGGAGTACAGTTAACGATATTCAAAGTCCTATTTATGGGGAAGATCTTTAAAGAATGAACAGCAGACATGTTTCATTTTCATTCATTGTTCATTGTATTTTATGTAAAGTAGCACTTATAGCACTTATTAATAACGGAATTTGTTTGCCTGCACTGAATGTTGGCGTGGACTATCCCTTTAAGTTAACTGCCTCGTGCAGCCTTTTGTCGAACATATGTTACGGGCCCAGACGCACTCTATGAAAAGGTCATATTTTTTCTGCTGACTGAACAACGACACACACACAAACACATGGAGACACCTCTTTTCCTCTTCATTACACTCTCTTCTCTTGCTCTCCCCCACAAACACATACACAAACACTCATGCACACACCTTTCCCTGCTGGTTTGGCCTCAGTCTGACCCTTTCCCTGTGGTTGCAGTGACCAGCCAGCCGTCTAATTGAGCGTTAGCCTGAAAGGTGTTATTATTAGCAGGACCTTGATAGCTAGCAACTAAACAGATTGGCCCGGCTAAAGTTTCCTCTCCAGGGTGCTGCAAGCCTCGAGGGAAAAAACATTCTGACCTATACACACTGAATATTTCTTATTAAGGAAGCTGAATAGGGTGTTGGAGTGAGTCTGTGGGTGTATATGTAAGTTAGAGTTTAGGTGGAGAGGAAAACCTTAACTCGATCTGGTACAGCAGCGCTCTACCTCAGAGTTCCCTGTTGCACAGAAATAGCGGCTTTCATACTGGCTGTCATTAGCTAATGACCTAAGAGCTGCACCAAATTGTGGTTTCTTGTTTAAATGCATGGCAAATAGAGTTTTTTTCTATAGTCCCTAGATAGATATGGCTGTCCTACACAACAGCTGAGACTGCCCTAACTCAAGGGAGGGCAGAGAGAGATAGAGAAAGACACAGGTTGTGTGTGTGTGGAGGGATGGGGATAATTCTTTTTAAACCATGAAATAGTGGGAAAAAATGTTAATTAAATAAAGCTTCACTCTTTCCAGTATGAGAGTCTGAACTGTTCATACAGCGGTCCTGTGCTGCAGTGCTGGCACACAGTTACAGGCACACACAGGCAAAAGCTGCCACACTGGAGGTTAAAGCAAATTCAGAGCGCAGAGGTATTCACTGTGCCTGCCAAGAGCTTGTCTGAAAAGCACGGCTAAAAACAGAGGCCCTTCTCAGTGATCACGACACTAATCCAGATGGCTGCCTACCTGCTGACACACAGAAACCGCGGCGATATGTAGGAAACTTGAATTTGCATTAATACCGACAAATCGGGTATATATATGGTATAATATGGAGATAACTATGTATGTGTTAGTATTCAAAGGCAAAACATAATAGTCTCTCTTTTCTTCTACAGATGGCCTTCACAGACACGCACACACTGACATGGCCTTTACATGTTTTTTAAAAAAAACATTCAAATGCAATAGACACAAAAAGACTTATTTGAACCCCTTTTCGCCAATGAGATTTTAGTCAAACAAACATGCAGAGACAGGGAGGGAGAGAGAGAGAGAGAGAGAGAGAGAGAGAGAGAGAGAGAGAGAGAGAGAGAGAGAGAGAGAGAGAGAGAGAGAGACTTCCCCCCCTCCAGCAGTAACTGGCTGGCTGTTGACTTGGAACTGCAGCTGGTGACGCACATCTCTGATTAAATTCAGCACAGCCCGCCTGATGCGGCCTCGACCAATCAGGCAGCAGGGCCGTGAATACACGCTGCCCTGCCCCCTTTCCTCTCTGTCCTCCGCACTCCCCCCCCCACCCCCACCACCCCCCACACCACACCCCACACACCACACACACACACACACACACACACACACACACACACACACACACACACACACACACACACACACACACACACACACACACACACACACACACCTCTGTCTTTCCATCAGTGGGTTGCTCCAAAACCCCACTGCTCTCTCCTCTTTTCTATTCTGTGTCTACCAGTCTCTCGGCTTGGTGTTCTCTGCTCACTACCTCTGGGCCTTTATCCATCTTGATCCCTCATCTCTTGTGTTTCCGTCTCTTTTCTCCCCTGTCTTGTTTCTGTCTTTTTACTTTGCCACTGCCTGGTTTCCAGTCCTCTGTCTCCCCGTCTCCCCACTCCGAATCTCTCCCCTCCACCTAACCTCTCTCTCTGCTTCCCTTTTGATGTGCACATTTCTTGGACCCCATCTCTCCTTTTCTTTTCTCCTGTTGTTAATTGTGTGTAGACTATATATAGACTAGAGACAGAGCATTTTAAGAAACCCAGTGACCTTTAAATAGGAACTTAATGTTTAGTTTTGTTTTGGTTCCTGGACTCTAGCTCCTGCCACTGAAAAGGGGCCTCGACTCAAGGTAACATTTTCCAATGGCCCAGGAACTACAAGGATGCAGTTTGCTCTAATAATAGATATTGCAGGTCACTGCACAAATTGAAGTCTGGCTACTGGGACGGTTTGTGGGCAGAACTCATTCAGATTACATGCATATACTGGTTCTTGCTAGAATTAGGCCTAGGCAAGTGAATTTCATTAAATGTTTTTGGAATTTTTTGATTAATTTATTTTCGATTTTGTTTTTTTAAGTTAATGTAGCACAGTCCAGACTACTTGACAATCAAGAAACAAAAGTGAAATTAAAGTAAATCTGTAGCAGGTGACCTACTTCGAACATGCACATCTTTCTGCTTTCTGCTTCTCTCAATCTCCTCCTCCTCTGCACATCGCTTTTCTGACATACATCACAGTGACACAATATTTTGCTGTCTCAAACACAACTCGCCAAAGGAGCTTCCTCAGTTCTTGGAATCTCTTAGTTCCCATAACAATTTGGTTGAAAATACACATATGGCTGTTACTCAGTCAGCTCACTGTTTTTTTTCTACTCCCAGTCAGGTACAGGAAGCAGATGAACCCAGAAGACACAGAAAGACACACAAGTCCCTTAGTTTAAACGTGCCTCATACACACCCAGCTTCACACATCCTGTGTTTGTAATGTTGTAGTAACAAGGGTGCATCCATGCTGTAACTCCCTTTATTTGCAGATGACAACATCTTATTTCTTCTGACATATTTCTATAAAACAATCATGAATCATGATTTAAAACCACATTGTCACAAACTTATTCAATTACATTATTCTATGCTTGCAAAAAGGAAAGTGCTGCTATAACACTATCCCGCTGGGTAATGTGTAACCATCTATGGTGTAATCTGTATTTAACAAGTGTATCAGTGTTAATGCTCTCACACAGCTCACATGCAGCTCCTCTCTGCCCTGAACAAACATAAATACTTTTACTGAGAAATGTCTTTCATTTTTAGGAGGAGAGATCTTTTCTTACTCCATGATGGATGGGTAAGTGCTTTTGAAGAGGCGGGGGCGGGCTGTATAGGAAAAGACTATGAAGGGAGCCAAAACAGAGAAAAGTAGGGAAAACTCTTCGATGACAATGTGTCTGTAGGAGATTAAATAAGGAAAGTGAGTATGATGGTTACACTTACTGCCTGTGAAAGGCAATTAATTCAACACAGTAAATTAGAAAGGTTACAAGCTTATTGCATTTGAACTCAACTGCATAACTAACAGCTTTGCAGAAACAATGTTTCTGTGCTTATTAAGCCCTTACTAATTGACAGCTTTTAATATCAAACCTTTCCTTTAAATATCTATTTACAGGAAGCTTTTTAAGAATTCTACAAACTGACATTTTCACTGATTTTCATTGAGTGTTCCTAAAAGACCCGACATCAGGGGCTCACCACGGGCTATCTGCCCAACCACGTTTGACATTGGTAACTTATAAATGAAAACAATATGCAAAGAGACAAAACATGGAAAAAAACAGACTGCTGAAAATAATCATTGACATAGGTAAATACAGAAATATTTAAGTAACAGCAGTGCAGGTGTTGTGAAAAACAAATTTAGACTTTTGTGTGGTGGTGGCCTTGGTATCTCTAATTGACGGTGAAAAGGAGAGCCAATTAAATAAGCATTTGTATCAAGTGTGCTGTAAATTCCATTAAACCCTCCAGCTGAGGCACTCTCTGCAACCTTGCACCAAACTTTTAATTACAGCCCTTCTTCACACTAAATGGTTAATTACACACAATGAGAGCAAGCCAGGAAAGAGCAATGGTTTAAGAATAGAGATCAAGTGAGCATAGAAGGCAGAGGGAAATGCATAAAGGAATCAGATATAGATTCAAAATCCACAAACAAGGCATAATTGGCAAGGAGGTAAGGAGCCTGTTATAAAGAACAACTGTGATTGGTTCACTGAGGCTAGTGCCAGGCAGTGCAGGTTCCCATATCCCTTCTGTCTATTGTCTGCAGAGCCACTTTATTATGCAGCCATGTTTATAGAAGGGGGAGGGATGGACACAACACACAGGCCTATATGCCCTACACAATGGTGCATTTCTTGATCCAATAAAGGCTAAGAGGTAGGGAAGGTAAGGACAATACAGCAGGTTTTAAAGTGGGCTTACATCTGTGCACAACAATTTTAGACATGCTGTTTTTCACATGGTTTTATAGTGGTAAACAGCTGTGTGCATCAATGTTTGCTTTTAGCTTATGAAAACAAGCTAAAGAAAAGAAGATGCCCTCGTGAAAGTCGTGAAACAAGG